GCCCTGCGCGTCCGGAGCCTGTGCTCCGCAACGGGAGAGGCCACAACAGTGAGGGGCCCGCGTACCGCAAAACAAACAAACAAAAAAACAAAACAAAAAACATTAAAAATCTCAAAATTTAAAAAAAAAAAAAAAAAAAAAAAGAGAGGCTGAGCCTCGGCTGGGAGGAAGACAGCTCACCGTCAGCCAGGCTCTGGAGCCAGATGGGCTCAGCTGCTTCTTGGAACTGTGACCTTGAGCAAGTTACTCCGCCCCTCAGACCTCAGTTTGGAAATGGGGATACTCCACCTACCCACACTCTGGTTGGGAGGTGCCAGTGAGATACTGCCCATGAAGCACTCATCTCCCTGCTGACCCACAGGGTTTCAGAAATGTTAGTTATCTCCATCAACCCTTCTCTGGGGAAACCTTCAGCTTGTGACTGGTTTGAATGGTGGCCGTCACCTTTCACCTGGTGACAACACCTGACTTCACAGTACCCAGAGCTTTCATCACAGAGCCTCCAGGCGTCAAGGTTGCGGGCCCCTCAGGCACCACTCTTCCATAACAGACGCCCCCGATCTGGCCTTCCTCCCCTCTGCAAATTGTCCTCTGTTTTTGAGCAAAGCTAAAGCGGAGTGTTATTTGGTGACACTGCCTCGATGAGGTCAGGCTGCCCGGAAACGACCCCTTTCTGCCCTCGGGGATGAGAATACAGGCTGTATTTCATTAGTGTTTTGAACTCTAGTATGTACCAAATGATGAATGTTTTGGAGTAAGGTTTACACTGGATGTGATCAAACAATGTTCCTGCACTCACAGTGTCAGTTGCCCTTGGTAGCCTGTTTCCTAGCACCATCAGGGCACACCCTGACCAATGGCATGTGTCACTATGCACATCTCACCACCAGTTGGCTCCTTACTGCCCAGGGTGGCGGTTGGGGTCACTTCAGACTCTGGGAGAGGTGCTGCCATAGAGAACCCCCTCTTCTATGTGGGGGCATTCTGAGGATCTTGTCTGTGGCAAGTGGCTTGGCAGGACCAGACCTTCCCAGGCAGGGCCCTTCCAGGGGCAGCTTCCCCAGCAGCTGGGCGCATCTCTGAGCAGACACTGCCCCCTTGAGGCCTCTGCTTGCCATCACACCTGGGAGCGCTGACCTCACACAGAGGGAAATGGACCCAAATGATGCTTTCCAAGCATCCTCCAGGGGTGCCTTAAAATTGGCCCCAAATGCAAAAGTCTTTGGAGCACTGGCAGTGTATTCATTCTCAACTTGAGAACCTGGAAATCTACCTTAGTGCCTTTTGTTGCCTTCCAGAAGAATGCAACTCTGGGCGATCATCAGAAAACAAGCGCATAGCCACAGGAGGTCTGTAACTTGTAAAGAGGCAGGGGGATCTCCCTGACGGTCCAGTGGTTAGGGTCCAGTGGTTAGGGCTCTGTGCTCTCACTGCCGAGGGCCCGGGTTCGATTCTTGGTTGGGAAACTAGGATCCCACAAGCCGCGTGGCAAGGCGGAAAAAATGAAAAACCATAAAGAGGCAGGGATTTTAGGGAACTAGTGAGAAGTGTCCTTGCTTTCTAGTAACATTTGGAATTACGGCTGGAATTAGGGTTGAGGATAAGCTTAGAGTTAAGCAAAATGACTAGTATAGAGTTAAAGAGGGAAAGATATCTTGCTATAAGTTTTTTTAAATATAAATTTATTTATTTATATTTATCTTTGGCTGCGTTGGGTCTTTGTTTCTGTGCACGGGCTTTCTCTAGCTGCGGCGAGTGGGGGCTACTCTTTGTTGCGGTGCACAGGCTTCTCATTGAGGTGGCTTCTCTTGTTGTGGAGCATGAGCTCTAGGTGAGCGGGCTCAGTAGTTGTGGCTCATGGGCTTTAGAGCACTGGCTCAGTAGTTGCGGCATGTGGGCTCTGCGGTGCGCAGGCTTCAGTAGTTGTGGCTCGTGGGCTCTAGAGTGCAGGCTCAGTAGCTGTGGCGCACAGGCTTAGTTGCTCCACGGTACGTGGGATCTTCCCGGATCATGGAAGATGATCATGGATCGAACCTGTGTCCCCTGCATTGGCAGGCGGATTCTTAACCACTGCACCACCAGGGAAGCCCTCTTGCTATAAGATTTGAAATTAGCTACCAAAACGAGGTGGGAGAAATAAATAAAATAAAAGAAAGGATGAATTAATTACAGGAAGGTCAACATTAACTAGCTAGATTGAGAACTGAGAGTAAGAAGTGGTGGAGGTGTGGAGACGTGGTCCTACAACTGTGGTACTGACGACAGTATAACATTGCATGCTGTATAGAGAAGTGGGAAAAAAAGGGGAAAACCACCAATAATCCTACCATCTTTTTTTTTTTTTTTTTTGTGGTACGCGGGCCTCTCACTGCTGTGGCCTCTCCCGTTGCCGAGCACAGGCTCCGGACGCGCAGGCTCAGCGGCCATGGCTCACGGGCCCAGCCGCTCCGCGGCACGTGGGATCCTCCCAGACCGGGGCACAAACCCGCGTCCCCTTCATCGGCAGGCGGACTCCCAACCACTGCGCCACCAGGGAAGCCCAATCCTACCATCTTAAATAAGCATTATTATGGTTCATTCCCTTTGTTTTTGCTTCCTACATGTCTGCTTTTAATGTCTTTATTGGATTTTTTTCAAATCATGAGAGTTAAATTATAGGGACTTCCCTGGTGACACAGTGGTTAAGAATCCGCCTGCCAATGCAGGGGACATGGGTTCGAACCCTGGTCTGGGAAGATCCCACAGGCTGCAGAGCAACTAAGCCCGTGCACCACAACTACTGAGCCTGAGCTCTAGAGGCTGTGACCCACAACTACTGAGCCCGTGTGCCACAACTACTGAAGCCCACGCGCCTAGAGCCCGTGCTCTGCAACAAGAGAAGCCACCGCAATGAGAAGCCCGCGCACTGCAACAAAGAGTAGCCCCACTCACTGCAACTAGAGAAAGCCTGCATGCAGCAACGAAGACCCAACACAGCCATAAATAAATATAAATAAATTTATTTTAAAAAAGATTTAAATTATGAAACTTGTAAGTTGTGGAAGGTAAAAACCACACCCATCTCAAAAAACAAAAAACAAAAAACAAAGATTGCCCCAAAATGCAGTTGGGTTACAATTGTGTTTGGGAGAGGCTTCATTCCTAATCACTCTGCAACCAGAGTCCCTTGGAGTCCTGGGTCCACTAAATTCTCAGCCTCTGGGCCTTTGTAAATCGTTTCCCCCCTGGAATACTACTCTCCCACGTTCTTGTCTGGCTGACTCCTTTTACTGCGCAAGCTTCGATGTCTCTTCTCCCAGCGTTTCCCCAATGTCCCGAATTGGTTGGGTGCCGCTTAAATGTGCTCCTGTAACCCCATGACAGCCTTTATCATGTTGCACTGTCATTGCTTCTTACTTACTGCTGGCAGAGAGGCAGTGTGTGGCAGAGACCCAGACACCGTGGCTCCCAGCTCCTCCTTCTGCGGATAGAGGCAGGACAAGCCAACTGTCTGCAATCTGCAACAGAACCAGAGCATGGGCCTGGGTCACGCCGTCCCCTGAGCAGGACGGGTTGCTGTCCAGCATTAAAGGGGAGCTGGACTGACGTTCCCAGGTGCTGGGTCCCAGGCAGTTGCTCATCAAATCCCTGAAGCACTCTTTGGAGGTAGGTACTTGTGGCTGAGACAGCAGCTGGTCCCCATCAAATACCTGGGTGCTCACCCAGAGCAGTTCAGGCCACATGACTAGTTCTGGACCACTGTCTGTGAGCAGAAGTGACGTCTGCCCATTTGGGGGTGAGTCGGTTCAGAGCTGATGTGTCTTCTCCATCTCTTCCCCCCAACTGTGGGTTCCAGTGGTGAAGCTCCAAAACGTAGGAGGGCTATCAGATGCTCATCGGACTTTGTGAAACAAAGGCACCTTTACTGCATTCAGCCAAGGAGGTTTGGGGGTTGTTGAGGCAATTAATGCTAATTGCCCTGATGCATACAGCACTACTATCATTTCTACTTATCGAGGCCAAGACAGCTGCCCACGGTCACACAGCTTGTAAGCGGGCAGAGCTGGAACTCAAACCCAGGCCTGACTCGCATGGCTGGTTTTTAGAAATTAAACTTACTTCACCTCATGAAATCCTGTCCCCAAGCACTGCTATAACTTCTGAAATCTTATGAGAATGTCCAGCAGGGACAGGGCAGAGGGGCAGCGGGAACAGTCAGAATACTTAGCAAGTCCGACGTGAAATCCTGCTATTCTGGATTGCACTCAGCAGTTACAACACTCAAGTTGTACTTCTGCCAGTGATGGTTGTTCAGGATGAGCAACACGCGGTGAAGAAATGACAACAGCTCACCCATGCTTGGCAGAGAGTTACAACTGGGGAGTGGAACCCTGATTCTACAGATCAGGGAAGAATTCCTCCCAATGTCACTATTTCACTCTCAGCTCTTACCCACTTGTTTCCCAGCCCAGAAAGGCAGTGTTGCACACCAGAAGCTTCAGAGTTAAGACCTGGGCTCAAATCCTTGCTCTGCCACTTACTGGCTGTGTGACCTCAGGCAAGTCACTGTGCCTCTCTGAGCCTCAATTTCCTCATCTGTAAAACAGGGATAGTAATACTAATTCCTCATAGGATGGACTGAAGCATTAGAGATAATGATATAAGGCATTTAGTACAGTGCCTGGCACATGGAAGTTTGTTATAATCCAAGGCAGGCTCTCTTTTTCCAGCGTAGGATCAGGGGGCTATCAGAGGAGAGGGAATCAGCATACAGATTCGCACCAAAATCGCTCATATGTTTATTTACAAACAGGATACATATACACATACACAGGTATCACTGGAACATTTCAGGAACCTCAGAGCTGGGAACACCCCTTCCTGACTCGGCTTGGGCTCTCTAGAAAAGGGCTTCTGACACTTTCTAACTGGAAAGCCTGTAGGTGCTCTGGTTGGGCTTTCACTGCTTCTCACGTCCACATCGGCCTCTCCCAGTGGGCCGCGGACAAGGGGCTGTGAGCTCAGTCATTCATGTCCAGGTCAAATTCTGGATACAACTCTTTGGTGGTGACACCTCGGATCACGGCTGAAAGGAAGGAAGGAAGGAAGGAAGAATGTCCAGTGGGAGAAGTGGGAGGGAAAATGGCCAAAGCCCTGGCCTACCCAGGACCCTCTCCAGCACTTTCTTCCTGCTCCCCTAGTTGGCCCAGATAACCCTCCTGCTACCCCTTCCAGGCTCCTCCACGGTGGGCCCTGTCTGGTCCCTCCAAACTAGACTCACTCAACCCTCACCCACGTGAAGCAGCAGCATGAGTCCTGTGCTGAAAATGTAAGTGTACACTCACATTGCATCAGTGGCCAGCTGCAAACCCTGGCCCATGTGCATGCCCTTGCCATTTGGTGATGCCCTTGCTCATGTCTCCTCACAGACTCTTCTCTCCTCCCAAGGGAAGGGGTCTCCTCAGAGGCCTGCCCTGACCACCCTGTCTCATCCCCACCTGCCACCCTGTTCATACCTCAATATTTTCCATCTGTCTTTTGTTTCCTTCACTGCACTTAACACATTTTATAATTCATTTATTTGTGTTCCTTTACTTCTTGACTATTCCCCTCCCCCACCCCAACACCAAAACATAAGTCACATGAGAATGGAGACACTCAAGTGTCTGGTTCACCAAAATGTCCCCATACCCTGTTGAGTAGCACAGAGTAGGTGCTCAGGAAATACTCACTGAATGAATGAAAGAGGACACTCCGCCTGCTCCAGGTCCTATGACCTGGAAGGACAGGTCTCAAACTGGGCTCTGTCTAAACAAGGGCTTATTCCCCTTGGCCTCTAGGCTACAGTCCCCTCACATTCCTTTCTTCTTGGGCCCTGATCGTCCTCCACCTCCTTCTGTTTTCTCCCTCCCCTCCTTTGAGACCCATTCCCCACTGACACACGGAAAAGCCCTTCCTGCCATGGAATCCCGGATGCTGATGGGCAATTCTGCGACAAGAGCTACAACTCAGGCAGCCAGTGGGCAGACAGCCCAGCTCTGGGCACTGTCCCAAATGGTCCCTGCTGGTTGAACATCAGAGTGCCCACCGATCCAAGCCAGGTGATGGAACCAAGGCCACCTACACATTTCCTCACCTCCAAGGTGGGCTGTCCCAGCCAGCTCAGACACACAGGTGCCTGTGTCTCGGCTCAGCCCTCTAGATAGTTAGACTGTGTTGGAGGAGGAACAAAATGCCCCTTTAAGCCACAGAGTTCCCCTTGCACTTTCTGCCTCTGTAGCATGTCGGCCACCTGAGGCAAGGCTGGGGTCTCCATTGGTCTGAGTAGACCCCGGAGGACTGGGAACCCTAGTCCTCAGGCAGGCGGGTGAGCCCAGACTCAAACCTGCCCACAGCTCCAAAGCAGGCTCTGTACCCGAGGGAAAAACCGCAGGCACTCAGGTAAGAGCTGTACAGTTGCTTCGCTAGGTGGCCAGGAAGGGGAGGGGCATTCAGGGAGCCTGGCAGCTGAGAATGGTAGGGGGGTTGGGTAAGTTTAGAAGGCCCAGGAGCAAAATCCCACCACCCCTGGGGCATGGGGACTCCCTCACCTAGTTTACCTAGCAGCATCTGGCCTACATCCTTGATGTCATTATACTCGTGGAGCTGGGAGATGTGGTCCTCCAGTTCATTTACACTGTAGCCTCTGGGGTGAGAAATGGAGAGAGAGAGGGAGAGAGAGAGAGAGAATATCGTTGAGAAGGCTGATGAGGCTCCAAGGTTCAGAGAGTAATGAAGCATCTATTTAACAAATGTTCACTAAGGGCCTACTGGGTGCTTGGCATTGGGAACTAAGATAGTGACGCCAAGATAGACCCTGCCCTCATGAAGCTTAAGGTAGGGCAGGAGATCTGCCCACCCCCTCACTCCTGGCAAATTCTCCCTGTACTCTTAGGGAGGCATCCTCAGCCACGCTGGTACTATGTAACCCTGGTCACAGCCAAGGGATTCACAGATGGGCACATGAGTGGCTAATCAGATCCCCTCAAGGGTGACATGCACGTTCAAAGGCTGCTCAGTCTGTGCCATGTGGCTGGAGCAAAGGGGAAAACCCAGGAGTTGTGGAAGAGCCAGCTTCCCCTGGGCACTGAAAACCCCACCTGCACAGGGAGGACAGAGCCCATGTGCAGACAGAAGCAGAGGCAGAGACCGTGGGCCCCAGAAGAGACTGGGAGAGCCATGGCTTTCCAGTTCCTAGTTCCCCTTATTCTCCTGGGAATTCCTGGCACAGTCCTGTTTTTATGCTAAGCTAGGTTGCAGTTACTGGGCACTAGTTAAATGTTATCTAGAGATTCCCTGGCAGTCCAGTGGTTAGGACTCAGTGCTTTCACTGCTGTGGCCCAGGTTCAATCCCTGGTCAGCGAACTGAGACCCTGCAAGCTGCATGGCATGGCACGGCCAAAAAAAAAAAAAAAAATTTTATCTTAAGCACACTGAGGAAGCCAAAGGGACTTACTCAGATATTAATTGGGAGATTTCCTTGTCCAGCATGTCCTCCTTCTCCTTCAGCTTCTGAATGTCAAGGTGCAGAGAATCCTCGCTGGCCCCATCAGCCTGGCCAGACTTGGGAGATGGCCGCTGCGTGGCACAAAGAGTCATAAGCAAGACTGACCAATTATCTACAATTCAGAACCTACACATTATCCCCCAATATCCACTTCCTGCTTCTGGCTGGTAATAGACACCCTCCACCCCAGAGTAAGACTACATTTCCCAGCTTCCCTTGGAATTAGATGTGGCCCTACAACTAAGTTCTGGCAAGTGGAACTTCATTAGAAATAGCATATGTGATGTCTGGGAACTGTCCTTCCAGGGAGAGGGCATGCCTTTCTCTAGCCTTCCTCTTTCCTACCAGCTGGAGGGATGCTGGAGTTGAACGGTGTCTTGGATGATAGAGCTTTGGGTCCCTGGTGACTGTTTAAGCCACCACTATTTGGGGTTTTCTTTCACTCCCAGCCAAACCCAACTTTAACTAAAGGGCCCATCCTGGTTCCCAATCTGACCCCAGAGAATCTACTTCAGGTCTACCTCTTGGATTCTCCTGTCAAGTCTATGATGTTGCTGGCGGGGGGGGGGGGGGG